TGCCAGAATAAGTGACTAGGTTCTTTTAGGGACAAGATTAACCTACTGGCAGTAGTCGATGAGTTGAGAAGTATAATTTGCAGAAATGGGAAATTGATTACTAAAGAGCATCAATAGTTGGAATTGACTAATATCTCAAGGATACTTGAAGGATAAAGGAAGGTGGTAAAACCATGTAATCATGATGTGATTCTACTGTAATTCAGGGTACAAAAATGGGGATATCTGGTAATGTGAACTTGAACTATCTTCCAATGTGATGAAGGAGTGTTACATGATGAAGTGTTATAACCCATTTGCTTGTAGATGCAAGACACACTGGAAATGAAAGCTAGATGGAAGAAAAGTATAAGCAGAAAACAGATAACATTGGTACTGAGGTGAGATATTGGGAGATCAAGTTGGTCTTTGGCTTGGTGCTGAATTCATTATTAACCTGGACTTGGATTGATGCCCTAAAGAATGGGCAGGTGAAAGTCTGTGAGATGGGAATTAGAGATTAGGGGTAAGTGGCATTATAGCAATGCCGTCTGGGCTATGGCAGTATGTACTGTCAGGTTGCCAGTGTCTTTGTTTCTAGAACAGACAGATAGATACCTGTTTGGATTCCACAGACTGGCTTAGTCAGTAGAATCTGAGGAGAGCTGGCGAATGCCCTGCAGGTGTATAGGTGTCCTAGAACACTCATCCAGGGTTTATTGGATACTGGATTTTGAGAAGAAGATTGTTTGTAGACCCTACCTGCTGGTAGGAATGGGGCTCTCAGGACAGTTTTAGTTCTCTGTGTTTATGGGTCAGAAACTGGGCAAGTCTGTCTGTTCATTTACTGTATAAATTGAACATCTAATGAGCCTGATTGGATCAAACATGCAGTGACATTTAGGTATTTTTTTTTTGTCAGCCTATGGGTGAAAGATTAGACATAATTGAGTGATTTTTTTCTTTAGTTTCAATATTTGATATAAAAAATAAGTTTACCATGATGGAAGGGGCACAGAATTTATTGATCAACTAGTTTTGTGGTAGGCATTTGTATATATAGGAGGATATAACGGTTTCCTGGGAGGATGCAAATTTGAATTGAAAACAAATACAATTTAGAAATAATAGACAAATGAATAAAATTAAGAAGGGTACTGAGTATTATTTTCTGGTAATAAAATGTATACCTGTGTATACCTGGAAATGACTGCTTAGAGACAACACTGGGAAAAAGATTTGGGTAGTACAGTTGGATATAAAAATATAGAAGAGAAAGTAGAAAAATTAATCTCCCTTATTTGCTCAATGCGTTTTGGGAGAAAAGTCTAATAAATTATCATAATTTATTTTTGTATATAAGGAACAGAGTTAAAATCAAAATACAAAATGCATCTCCTTTTGATGTTGTGTGTTTTAGGAGTATTTTGAAGAACACAATCACATCTGAAGAAAAAAAATGGAAAAGATGGCAAGGCTAGAAAGTAGATTTGCTGGGAAAATTATCTTTGTTTCTACTGAGTCTTGAACAGGAAAAAAAAAGATAAAATTGTGAAACAAGTATTTGAGAACAAGTTTACAGCTGGCGAAGGGCCTGAAAGTCAACAAAATGACACACTAAGGGAAACAGTGGGAGTTTTTTTTTAATCAGAAAGTTTTAAGAGTATTTATTGACTTCCAATTATGGTTTCATGTCTGTTCTTCCCAAAGGCAGGTGTACTTGAAACCCCTCTTGGCTCTGAAAGAAGATTCTGTGGTTCTGATGAAATTGTGTGCATTAGAATCACTTCTGTTGGAAAGGAGATGCTAAAGGGTACTCGAATGAAATATTAAAAATTATGAAGGACATAACAAAGGCCAATCAGTCCTTTCTTTTCCCTAGACCCCCTAAGATGAGAACAAGGGTTATTTGATGAAATTAAAGAGTAGCAAATTAAGTGCTAATAAAATGAGATAGTCACTTATATAATTCATTGCCATGGGAGGTCACAGAGGCAAATTCTGTGGCCAGATTTAATATGAAGTTGAATAATTTTATAACCACTAATGATATTTTTAGCAGTCAAGGCTGATACTGTGAAGGAAGTGATCTTATTACATTCCCCAATAGATGGTTTGCAGAGACCTCTGGCAGGTGGTGTCTGAGAAATGTGAGCAGAGGCCTTGTGGGCTATAACTTTAGGTGGGAATTGTAACAAAAAAATCTGTCTTAAAGCAAATGGTCCCAAGCAACCCCTTCATACTTTTGTCCCATCTTACGGAGGTCCAAAACTCTTTTCCAATCAGGATCAATTGAGAAAGACATTGCCCAGAATTAAGAAAATTTCTGGAATCTCAGGTCAAGGGATTGCAAGTTTGAGGCCAGCTGCAACAATTTAATGAGACCCTGTCTCAAAAAAATAAAATAAATAAATAAATAAATAAAAATGGCTGGGGTATAGCTCTGTGGTAGAGTACTGGGTTCAATCCCCAGTACCACAGGTGCTTCCTCCCCCCCCCAAAAAAAAATGATTTTTGGGAACCACTCAACTTATTTATTGAATGCCATGCTATTCACATGTCATGTATTCTCTTGGAGTTTTAAAAATCTTTTGGGGATGTAAACGATTTTTTTACATCAGTACCATTTCAAGTGATGACATTGGGCTAAAAGCAGACTATAAATTTGCATGGAAGTACAAAGCAGCAAAGGAATATTGAACCTGTGCGGTTTAGGGAAGACTCAGAGCAGGTGACTTTTGAACTGAACCTCAGTGTATGAGTAGGAGTTAATCTGCTTGCAAAGTAAGGAAGGGCAGTCTGGTTAAAAGGAACAAACTGAACACAGGGTTCAGAGATGGAACATGACTTGCTGTGTCAGGAAATTGCCTGCCATTTAGCAATACTGGCAGATGCAGAAGAGACCACAAGGAGCAAGCCAGATGAGCACATGTCCTGGGTTTGCCTGAGACTTCTTGCCTACAGAAGAGCTTCCAGTGGGGGCCTTAGTAGGGTGTGGGGAGTAGGGAAGAGGAGGGGAAGAACTTTGAGGAAGTGTCTCAGGACTCATTAAGGACAGCCAGTCCAGCTGCCTAGGAGTGATCCGCTTCCCTCTTTTGACCACTGTCAGTAGTTACTTGGCAGTGAGTCTTGTAGGTCACATAACTTTGCTTCACTGTTACTCTCTGCCTGGAATGATCTTTATCTAGAACCTAATCACCATTGTTAGTGTTAAAAAATAAATAAAAGAGATCCTCCTCTGTGTTTGAGAAGAGGGAGGTTCTTCTAGGCCTTAGGTAAATTAGGATGAGCCCAGTGTGACTGTCTGGTCTTATTCCCTTGGACTCTGCCTAGAGCCAGCTCAGTCTTTGGTGGGAAAGAAGAGGCAGAAGTTGGCCTGACCCTAGCTTTTGCTTTCTCTCTGAAGTTGGCTCAAGAAACAATCAGGAAGACGTACAGTATCTTTGAGGAGCAGAAGCAGATGGATTGAAATGTTAAAAATCTGTTTTATTAAATGATTTCAGCTAACAAAATAATTTAATTAGGAAAAAAGGGGAAAGCACACAAACTGTTCCTTCTGTAGTAATATTTAAGTGGAATATCATTAATCTTTGAGAATTTTTGCATGATTAATATTGATACTTAAGAAGAGGCAAATGGAAATAGGAGAAGTCTTTTATAAATATTGGTTTTCTGGTGATCTAATCTTTATGGTAAAGGTTTTTTTTTTTTGTTTGTTTGTTTGTTTAAAAAATAAACTCAGGGGTGATTTACCACTGAGTTATATCCCTGGCCCTTTTTGTTTTTCATTTTAAAACAGAATCTCACTAAGTTGCTTAGGGCCTTGCTAAATTGCTGAGGCTGGCCTTGAAATTGCAATCTTCCTGTCTCAGCYTCCCGAATTGCTGGGATAAAAGGCATGCACCACTGTACCGAGCTTTTGTGGTAGATGCAAATACTTTATTATTATTTGTGTTGTTGCATAGTACAGTATGCAATTGGCAGTTTTCTTTGTCATGTTATAGAGCTGTGTAATTGAGATGTGTTTCCTAATGAATAACCTTTTCCATAGTAGAAGAATTTTCTTCTGGGATTATTCTTCAAAAACATGGAGTTCTTACAGGGATATAGAAATGATGTTAGTTACAGAAGGTAAACAGACACATGTCCAATTTACTGTGGGGCTACCTGTTATGAATATCAGTGGAAGACATTGAAATACAATGCATGACACTGTTGTTAGACTCTCAAAGGCAAATAAGGTAATGACTCACAGTACAGTAAGTACAAGAAACAGTTTCACCATGGGTCCTTGGTGAATGAAATATAAGTTCTGTGGTAGAGGGACAATTAAATGTTAGCTTTGTCTGAGAGAGCCATGTCTTCCCCAGGGCTAAAACATGAGCCATTTGGAAGCAAAGAGAGCAATCAAAGTAGGAGAAATCACTTGAGAACAGAAGCAACACAGAWATCTTCTGGAACTTTTAGTAGTTTTTTTATTTCCCTTTTAAAACTTCTGTTATATCATTGTTGTTATCTCTGATACATTTTGAAAAATTCTCCTTTGATGGGATGTATCATATTGGTATCTAGTAGATATTAATCTTGTCAGGAAGGGGGTATAAACAAGCATTGCTTTAAGCCCCAGCATTAATTCACTTAAGCATTTATTAATCTTGTTTGCTCCCTTGGACTAGACACTTACAGATAAGTTTTTGCTGTCAGAAGTGAGGCATGTACGACGGGGAACAGAATCCCAGAACACAATCCCACCCCCTCCACCATGGTCATTATGATCTATGCAGGAAATCAATACTAGTTCCTCTAATTCCATATGTACTTGATTTTACATGAAGTATGCCTTGTGATGGCTGAGCTTCCTTCAACAARGTTATATATTTGTTGTTGTAAGGAAAAAAGCAGAAGTTTTTAAAGAGTGTTTACATCAAATGGTGAATGTATCCTTTCCAGAGCCCTRTGTCTATAGGTGACTATATTAATAAAACTTTTCAGTTTCAAAAGTGTTGTTCTCTCCCCTTTAGACCTTAGCTGGATTTCCAAAGTACAGGTGAATCAGCCAGCAGTTCTGAGGCGGGCACAACAAATTCAGGCTCGAAGAACCGTGAAAAAGGAGTGGCAAGTAAGGTTCTTCTTGAGCATTCTGTCCCTGTGTTTCACAATGCATGGTCTCTTCCCTCAAGGCTACAATATTGAATTTCGCTCAAGATGCATCTAAACTTAAAAGATTGCAGCTGTCCAAGACTTATTTTAATAATTCATATATGATGATGATGGGTTGTAGAAAGATAACACATTTATCCAAACAAGTTAAAAATCTTATCACTCTTGAGTGGCAAAACCGCAAATGAATTTGAGGCATCTTTATTCATGAGTGAATTAAATGGCATCTTTTCTCAACGAATTTATTCAGTTTCTTAGATGTGCCTTCTTTGGTTGTCTTCTGGTTTAATTTTAAAACCATAATGTCTAAACCTGGTGTGTCCACTGTTGAGGCCCTGAGGGGTAAGAGTTGACCTTCTTTGACCTTCATGCTTATCTTACTATTACTTTTCATAAATCACTTTTCAAAATTCCAAAGGTGATGTTTTGCAGAGTACTTATGGTCAGCATATTCTTCAGTGTTTACCAACCAAAGACGTGCTATGCAGTTCTAAAAGGAATTCAGAGTTCATTTCACAAGGGACTTGGAATACTGTGATTGAATCCTTTAGAGTAATATTACACATTTTGCTCATCTTTGGAAATATTCTGATTGAAAAGAGAAAAGGAAGTTCATCAGAATTAATTGTGAAACAGGAATATTGTTTTTAAAAAGGAATTGGATTAAATTGGAAAAAAACAACATGGAACTGACTGATTTTAAAAAACAGTGTCTCATTTCTAATCCTAGAGTGGAAAGGAAAATTGAAATAGAAACCTTCTTCTTGAGGTCTCCTACATCAGGGTAGCCATCGAAGATTCCTTGTGGATGAGATGGAAAAGTCAGAAGTGTGGAGACTTCGTCTACTGGGGGTTTCTGTTTGGGATATCAATAGGAGAAAAAATATTAAGGTTCTTCTTCTTCCTTTTCACTTTATTCTGAGTAATGTTCATCTTGTCAGTGAATCTCGTTTACACTTGTATCATCATATGCTTTAGAATAGTGTAGACATCAGATATTAGTATCTGTGTTTGTCGAATGAGTACAAATTGGAGATTAATTTTAATTTGCTTTGCCTTTTCTTTCTACTAGGCTGCTTGGCTCCTGAAAGCTGTTACCTTTATAGATCTTACTACACTTTCAGGTGATGATACATTTTCCAACATTCAAAGGCTCTGTTATAAAGCCAAATATCCAATCCGGGAAGATCTCTTAAAAGCTTTGAATATGCATGATAAAGGTAATGTTGTATATAATATATCTGGTGTTTACCTGCTTGTGATACCAATTATGAGATCTAAGAGGACTTAAGATTCACCTGCTAACAAGATGGTAGTTGTGAAATCCATGATGGAAGCTCTGATCATATGTATGGACAAATAATTGAAATGTTCTTTTAAAAATGGCAAGAAGACAATCTGAATCCTGTTTTTAGGTCACTTCTTTCTGTCCACAGATTGAAATTTCTGGTTGAAAGTTTTCTTATATTTTTTCTCAATTCTTAAGTTCAGAAATTTTCTATCTAGTGACTCTAAAATACTAATTTTGATTCCCTAGCCACATATGAAAAAGTCAGTCTCATTATTTAATAATGACATCTCATACATAAAAGTATTTTCTGTGAGTCAGTGAAATACTTTTGAGAATAAAATGCAAATGGGAAATATTGCATGCTTGTATTTTAGGTTAGATCTTTCAGAAAAAGTCATTCTCACTTCTTTAGTGTACATGAGAGAAAGACCTTTCCGCAGTTGCCGTTAGTTTAGAATTTTAACATTTTAGTAATGGAGGAGACTTGAGAGTTGGTCCTCTTATTTTCTAAGTGAAGAAACTAAGACCTGGAAGGATCTAAGGCATTTCCAAGACACTATGTCTTATTACCTGCTGGGCTGGTTTTAGGAGCCAGCTCTCCTCTTCGTGGGGTATCCTTTATGGCTTTGGCATGCCTCAGTGCTAGAGAGATAGCCCAATGCAGATATCACAGATAATGTGCAGATAATTTATAGACCTAAATATCTCTGTAGTTTTTAAAAAGTATTATATTTCTTTTGAGTTGACAATAAAAATTCTACTTCACTGGGGCTGGGAGAGCTCTTGGTAGAGCTCATGGTTAGCATGCAGAAGGTTCAGTTCTCAGTACCAAAACAAAACAAAGCAAACAACCCCACCAGACTCCATCTTATTAATAGCACTTAAAAGGAACATCTTTGAGGTATAGACACTGCTTGTTTTAATAGTGGCTATTTGATCATTTTAATTATTTATTTTTAAAATTTCAGAGCTTATACATTAAAATGAAGTCTTCAGGTTTAGATTTTATTATTTCTTGCAAAAGAAGGAGTGAATTTAGTTAAATGACATTTTGCTGTTCCACTCTGTATATTTATTTCACTTATACTTTTCTCCATTAACTCTCCTGTTTCAATGCTGTGCAAACCTGCATTTTTTATCTACACAAGATATTTTAACTGAGTCATGATGAACAAGTCTACTGTTTAAGAATTTAAAAAATGATGTTATGTTAACCTTAAAGAACAGTGTATCAAAATTATTTCTATGACTATAATCAGAACATGATGCATGTTTTCAAGAACTAGAAGGGACTGCAGAAAGCAAAAATCTTTTAAGTTTGTTGCAGCATCATTGGAGTATAGTTTTTTTTCTCATTTTGTTTTCTGCCAATGTTGTAGTATAAATATATTAGCATATTGTGTGAGTTGAACTTCATATAAAGAAGACTGCTATGATTTCTTTCTTCAAAGGCATTACTACAGCTGCCATTTGTGTTTATCCTGCTCGGGTATGTGATGCTGTAAAAGCACTGAAGGCTGCAGGCTGTGATATCCCTGTGGCATCAGGTAAGATTTATTGCGGCTTTTGTTGTTATTTTTCAACATGTTTCCACTTCTACAATGTTGATGCCATGGAGTATTATATATTATCTTAATTTATATTAATTTAAATTAATTCCATATATATATAATTAATTATATTGATTCATGATTTTGGTATTTTTAGTTATTTATTAAAGAGCAGACATTAAGGTCTACAAATAAGGACCTGTAATAAGAAACAAATAAGAAAACTAAGTTGTGGTCAGGTCAAAAAAAACATAATGTGCAATATAATTTTATAAATACAAATGTATGTGTATGTATTCTGTATATATATATATATATATATATAGAGAGAGAGAGAGAGAGAGAGAGAGAGAAAATATAGAAGTAAAAATGTAGAAGGTACTGTTGTAACTCTGAGAAGTGAATTATTTATTTTGTGAAAGTCAGTGACACTCAGCTGTATGCATTATCACAGTGATGTAATTGCATTGGGTCTCAAAGGGTGCAGAGGCGACAACAGTGTTGATAAGGTAGAGAATGACTCTTAGAGAACTCATGTTTATAAAGTCACAAAAGCATCATCAGAGGACTGAAAGGGGTTTGCAATGTTGGGTCCAAAAGTAGGACAGAGAAGGTGCTGTGGAAGTGGAAGCTGTAGGGGCAATTCAGGGTCAGACGGCACTGGGCTTATAAATTGGACCTTGTTGCGGCTACACTCTGATGATGGGATGGCCATGAAAAGTTTTAAGCAGAGGAGTGGCATGATTAGCTTCATGGTGTAATGAGTTAGCTGATGGTAGGGGTAAGCTAGAAAGGGCCAAAATGAAGTTAGAGAGACTCACCACAGTCAATGTGGGAGAGGATAAGAACCTTCCGAAACCCAGAGGATACAGAAAAGAGGGCACATGCAGCAATTAACTGATTTAAGGTAGACTTAGCAGGATTAAGCAGGTACCAGGAAGAGGAAATTCTTAAAAGCTTCAGTTTAGTGTGTGTGTCTGTATGTTTGTGTCTGTACAGTTAACTGCATGGGATAGATGGATGGATAGGCAGATATAAAATTAGATTCTAGTTTTAAAAGACATCAGAAAAATATCCTGGTGCTTTAAAAAAACAGTCTATAAACTGCAAGTTAGAGGCTAGTCTCAGCAATTTAGCAAGACCCTTAGCAACTTAGGGAGTCCTTTTCTCAGAATAAAAAATATAAAGGGCTGGGGATGTAGCTCAATGGTAAAGCACCCCTGGGTTCAGTTTCTGGTACCAAAAAATAAAAACAAAAACCTAGCAGTCTATAAAGATCATTAATTTATTTTAGGAGAAAAGCACCAAAAGAAACACTGTACTATATTTATGTACAACGTGTTTATGAGGATTCCCAAAGTATTTGGAAGCTATACCTTTATATACCTTATTTTTTCATCAATCTCAGTCCAGTTTTTTCCTTTATTCAACAGGGAGATGTGCTTCCCTGTAAGGTAGCTGACCCAAGGAATTTATTAACACCAAGGGAAGACAATAGGTCATCTTTATAAACAGGGACGGAGTAAATGATGAGCATATAAAAAAGGTTTTCAAAAGTATAGATGTATTTTCATTTTCCTCTTACTCGTTCTTGACCCTCCTCTTACCAGCTCTGTCCTGCCCCAATTCTGTGGACTGGTTAGGTATTTTTCTYTCCTGTATCCCTTTTCCTTTTTTTTTCTCATTTGGCTATTTCCTCCCTCCCTCCCTGCTTCTTTTTCTTTTCAGTGGGAGGAACCTGTGTTACAATCTGGTTATTACAGCTAAAGATGTTCATTTGTAAGTGAGTAAATCAAGAGTAAATAGAGATAGACAACTTGATCCAGAGTAGGATCCAGAATTAACTAGTGTTGGTTAAAACAAGGCTACACCTAGTATATTATGATGATCACTGTGATAACATGTTTTCCTTCTCTCCTTTCTTTCCTTTTGTATTGAGTGTTAAACTCAGGGGGGTTTTACCACTGGGTCATAGCCTCGGTCCCAGCCCTTTTACTTTTTTTTGGTGGGGGTACTAGGATTGAACTCAAGGGCACTCAGCCACTGAGCCACATCCCCATTTTTTAAGACAAGGTCTCACTGAGTTGCTTAGTGCTAAGGCTGGCTTTGAACTCTCGATCCTCCTGTCTCAGTCTCCTGAGCCACTGGGCTTACAGGTATCCACCATGACGTCTGGACCAGCCCTTTACTTTGAGAGGGTCTTCTTGCAAAGTTGCTAGGCTGACCTTGAACTTTTGTTCCTTCTGCCTCAGCCTGGGTTGCTGGGATTTATTTTTAAGGACTCACTCTCAGTTGTGCACCATGCCTAGTGCACAATGATAACATATTTTCTCAATTGCTTGTTACTTAGTGTGCACCCTCATACGCATCTCTGCAACAGCTTAATTTTAGGTCTGTTAGAGAGTATGATGTTAATATTTGTCCTGACACCAATACAACATGAAATAATGTCATTTCTTCATCCTTATGTATAATATAGGTTGTTCTTAAGTGTCATTTATACTTTGTTTTCTTAATGCTGATTATTTTTTGGAGGGGACATGAAACTTTTTGTTGAGCCTCTTACCAACTGGAATTGTTTTTMTTCCCTCTCTTTTCCTTTCTTTATTTTTAATTATTATTAGTGGCTACTGGCTTTCCAGCTGGGCAGACTCATTTAAAGACACGATTAGAAGAGATCCGATTAGCTGTGGAAGATGGAGCTTCAGAAATTGATGTGGTAATTGACAGGAGTTTGGTGCTGACAGGCCAATGGGAAGGTAGGTGTATGTTCTTGCCTAAAAGGAGTCCTAAACCAGTGTGCTGGTGCATGCCTGTAACCCCAGTGACTTGGGAGGCTGAGACAGGAGGATTGCAAGTTTGAGGTCCACCACAACAACTTAGTGAGGCCCTAAGTAACTTAGTGAGACCCTGTCTCAAAATAAAAAATACAAAGGGCTGGTATTGTGGCTCAGAGGTAAAGCACTCCTGGGTTCAATCCATAGTACCAAAAAAAAAAAAAAAAAAATGCAGGGGGTGTCCTCGTTCTTCCCTTTGGGAAAAAACAAGGTAGGGATCTGGTAAAACAGCATGTTTTGCAGATCATTGTTTTTAGTTATAAGTCACTAGATTAGAGGGTAAATTTAGGAGAAAACATGGCTAAGATTGCTTGTCCTTGTGTCATTTATAAATCTAGGTAGATGCCAATCTGCATGAACTTTTTATATTCGTTTGGAATATTATAATTAGATTAATAGTTATTTTCACATAGTAGATTAATGCACTTTAAAAAATTTTATTTTACTAATATGTTTTTCTTGTAGAAAGAGTAGTTACTACTATTCTGTACTGTTTTGTTGCTCAGTACATGAATCACTTCAGGCAGGATTTTTATGAAAATTTATTTTAATATGTTGGTGGAAATCTCATTTTTTTCCTAATCTTTGTGGACTTTGAGGATGTGGGATTATGAATAAGTGTTCTAAATCTGTTTTTACTCCTAATATTCTGTTTTTTAAAAACTTTTTTTTTTTTCAAACTGGACTTATTCTTTTTTTTTTTTTTTTAGAGAGAGAGAGAGAGAGAGAGAGAGAGAGAGAGAGAGAGATTTTAATATTTATTTTTTAGTTATCGACGGACACAACATCTTTGTTTGTATGTGGTGCTGAGGATGGAACCCGGGCCGCACGCTCGCTAGGTGAGCGCGCTACCGCTTGAGCCACCTCCCCAGCCCTTTTAAAAACTTTTAATTTGTTCTTTTTAGTTATACATGACAGTAGAGTGTATTTTGATATATTACACATACATAGAGCATAACTTCTCATTCTTGTGGTTTTATACATGATGTGGAGTTACACTGGTGGTATATTCATATATGAACATAGGAAAGTTATGTCCAATTCATTCTACTGTCTTTCCTATTCCCATTCCCCCACTTCCCTTCATTTGCCTGGTCTAATCCAAAGTACTTCTTTTCTTCCCGCCCCTACCCTTTATTGTGTGTTAGCATCTGCATATGACAGAGAACATTAGGCCTTTGGTTTTTTGGGATTAGCATATTTCACTTAGCATGATAGTCTCCAGTTCTATCCATTTCCTGGCAAATGCCATAATTTCATTCTTCTTACACATGGAATGAATATAGTTTCATATTTATCTTTAAGGATTCACTCTCAGATTGCAATAAGACATTGTCCATTTTAGTAACAAGATACTATTTTTATAATTAGACATTAAAGAATCAAATAGATTTTTAACTATCTTAAATATATTTGTATACTAAAAGGAGACGTCAGTAACTAAAGTACAATTCTTCGTGAAAAAGTCATCATAACAAGTAATTTAACCAAAATCTTTTAATGAAACCACAAATTAAAGCCAGAATGAGGCCAGGTATGGTGGCACATTCCTGTTATCCCAGGKACTTGGGAGGCTGAGACAGGTGTTGCAAGTTCAAGGCCAGCCTTGGCAACTTAGCAAGACCTATCTCTCCTTTTAAAAAATTAAAAGGACTAGTAATGTAACTCAGAGCACCACTGGTTTTAATCCCCAGTACTGCACACATACACAAAAGCCAGGAAGAGCTTTTTTTGTGTAGATGTGTATATGTAAGGTAAAAGCTAAGTTTTGTTCTAATTATGGAAGTTCTACCCACTCACTGTAATGAACAGAAATTCTAGATTGTAGTAAAGGACATGGAAGTTGTCCATACTCTCACTCCATGGAAATCATCCTGACAGTACTGCAGTGTGACTTTCAAGACCTTTTTCTCTTTATATGARCACATGTGCTACCCCCACCCCTTTAAAAAAGTTTAAATGATACCTATAATGTTTATCTTCTTAACCTACTTATTGAACTTGCCAGCATTTCTTGGATATCTTCTTGTGACTTTTTCTCTCCAGCTCTGTAGTAGGCCTCCTTTATTCATGGGGGATATCTTCCAAGACCTGCAGTGGATGCCCGAAATCACAGATGGTACTGAGCCCTATACATATGCTGTTTTTTCCTCTACATACACAACTATGATTACCTTTAATTTATAAATTACGCACAGTAAGAGATTAATAGCAGTAATAATGAAATAGCACAATTATAACAATATACTGCAATAAAAATTGTGTGAATGTTGTCTTTCTCTTAATATATCTCATTGTGCTGTATTCACCCTTCTTTTTGTGGTGATTTGAGATGAAAAGACACCCATGAGATGAGATAAGACGTAGGCATTGTAGTGTAGTATTAGGGCTAAAGGCTCCCTGAATACAAGTACTTCAGTATAGCAAGAGTTAACTGAAATGATGACTGAAATGCTAAGTGACYAGGAGAAGGTGGCATATATAGTATGAATATGCTGTAAAAAAGGATGATCCACATTCCAGGCAGGACAGCGTGGGACAGCATAAGATTTTATTACCCTACTCAGAATGGGGTGCAATTTATAACTTAAGAATTGTTTTTTCTGGACTTTTCCTTTTAGTATTTTTGTACCACAGTTGACTCCAGGTAATAGAAACTGAAGAAAATAAGACAACTGATTAGAGGAGTATTACAGTTTGGATGTGAGGTATTCCCCCAAAAGCTCACATGTGAGACAATGCAACAAGGTTCAGAGGAGAAATGATTGGATGGTGAGAGTCTTAACCCAATCAGTGAATTAATCCCTGATGGGATTGTTAACTAGAGGCAGGTGGGGTGTGGCTGGAGGAAGTGATTAATTGGGGGTGTGGCAATATTTTGTATATGGAGCTGGAGTCTCTGTTTCATGATCACGATATTTCCCTTTGCCACACTATTCTACCATGATCTTCTTCCCCACCTCAAGCCCTGAGGAATGGAGCTAGCCTTCTTCTGGACTAAGACCTCTGAAACCGTGAGTCCTCAAATAAACTTTTTCTCCCCTACAGTTGTGCTGGTCAGATCCTTTAGTCACAGCTGTGAAAAAGCTGACTAACCCAAGGGGGACTACAGTATTTATCTTCAAACTCTTTATCTATCTGTTAAGCCTAATTTCATCTTTTATCAATTATGAATTGCTTTTGATTAGGATGCAGCAAAGATTTAGGTAGAAGTTTAATTGCTCAAGTATTTATTCTCTTATATGAAGTTCAGAGGGGAGGTAGTTCCAGGGTGTTGTGGCAGCCACACAAATTTCTTGGAGACCCAGGCTACTTTCATCTTCTGGTTCCAAAGCACCTGATGTCTGCTGTCTTACCAAGGGCACTTCATTATCTTAGATGGTCTCTGAAGTTATTTACACTCCTTTCTTAGATGGCAGGAAAGAAGTCTTGTTCCTTCTAAAAGTCTTATACAACTCTTGCTTATTATATCCTCTTGGCTTGAAACTGAGTTAAGTGGCCACAATGATTGTCTGCAGTTGAAGCTGGGAGATGGGGTTTTAGCTTGGACTATTAGCAGCAATCCCATATATTTCCATTTCCTACCTCTCCCCTATCTATACTTGTCAACAATTTTAACCCTTGCCAGCTTTAAATTTTCCACAGTTCACAAATAACTTTATGCTCTTTTAATTCATGTTCCTTTGCTTATTATTGTTCATGTGTGTTTTGGGCAATTGTAATTATCCTGAAAAGATTAATTTTAAGTATATTTCTGTCCTTATGTATTAATTCTGCTTATCTGCTTTTAGTCACAGATTTCAGTTAAGATTTAAGGCTTAAGTAAGAGGAAAAAGTGAGTACATGTAATATTTAAAACAAATCTGGAAATAAACTACATGAATTAGTTGGATAAAAACCTCTATGTCCTTTATGTCTTTTTCTTCAGCAGGTGTAGATATAGATGTACAGCTTATATTATAACTAGTGCTGTTCTCTCTCAAATACTACTAATTGGAATATTAAAATACAATAGGAGATAGATTTTGATGTAATTGGCTATTCCTTAACGAACTAGGGTGGTTGTTTTTAAAGAACTGATAATTTCCCAATAATAGACATTCACGCAAAATATAATAACAATCTGTGTCCTAGACCATACTTTTCTATTAACGTTTTCTTATAGTGCTAATAACCTCTTGACCCAAAACAAATTGAAAAGAAACATTTAATACTAGAAATTTATTTCTAAATAGAAACCTGCAGTGACTTAGGACTTTTTTTTTACTTCTGTATTTTGTTTTAATTTTGATTCTCAACTTGATTACATAGTATATTTTTACTGCCATGTTTTAATATCACATGTTTACTAGAGTTAATGTTTTGGAATGTGCTGATGGAAATGCTTATCTATTATATTTTCAAATCTAGGTGCACTGAGATTTGTAGGATACTTTGTAAAGTGCAATAAAAAGAATCCACTTTTTAGATCTAGCCATTCAGAGTGCATCCTGACCATTTCTCATGGTTAGGCCCATTCCAGTGGAGGATGTAAGCTGAGAGAGGAGACCTCCCCACTGCTTCTCCGAGGCCACAGACATCTTCAGACAGCATCTTCGTAGGGCTCTTGCTTCTGGTTTCCTTTCCTTTGCTTCCTTTTTTCCTCTTTCCTCCTAAGCCAGTACTTTCACAGTGCTGTGGCTCTTGTGTCCTTCTGCAGAGGCCTTACTCCATGTATTATACATCATTTCTTTTCTGTATCTTTAACCTTTCTATTCTAGCTCATTCTCTCAAACATTTAAGCACACTTAAGGTTTTCTTACACATTTAAAAAACAAAACAAACAAACMAACAAAAACCTTCACATGCCAACATCCTCTTTGTCATCAGCTAAACTTGGCTTTCTTTTTATTGTCTTTAGAACTGAAAATCTTTTTTCTTTT